TTGTTGTGTTGAGGCAGAGTCTCACGTGACCCAAGGTGGCCTTCAGTTTGCTCCACAATTGAGATTGGCGTTGATTTCCTGATTCTCCCATCTGATTCTCTCTGGTACTGGGATTACAGACCTGTGCAACCATGCCGGGTAGTCCGGTCTACTCAGCTGTGGAGTCAGACTGGAGGATGCAAGCCCCTGTGTTGCTAGATATGGCTAGTTGTATGTTCAGATGTAGCCCTTGGCAGGGGTAGGGGGTGGCAGGGGATGGTGGGGGCATTAGGAGGGAGTGTTGGCATATGCCACTTCTTTACTTTGAGTTCCGAGATCCATGGTCTTCCACCTTCAGAGGTGCAGTTAACCAAAATGGTTCTTTCAGTTCTTCGCACTAATATTACTATTCAACCAAAGCCAAGTTCATTGGGCAGCAGATGTGGTTTGTTTGCATATAGCTCAGGCATAGAGTGCTTGCCTGGTGTCACCCAGAACAGCACCAAAAAAGGAGGCCTTCTTGCAAGTAAATTATGATAATAATTATATATAAATATATATATATATGTATTTTTATATATATATATATGTGTGTGTGTGTGTGTGTGTGTGTGTGTGCGTGTGTATGTATATACATACACACATACATATATATACACATACATATGTATATACATATATACATACACACACATATAAACACAGACACAGACACACACACATATAAATGCTGTGTAGAAAGCAGCTAGAAAGCAGCTTTTTTGGGCAGTCACCTGAGTCATGTAGCTATTCCTTTCTCAACTGAATATCCGTTGTTAAAGGACGCTGGCCAGAGATAATAAGGATTTTATTGAGTCCTTGGAAGCCACTGAGACTGGGTGACATGCACACATTCCTGGTTTGAGATGCACTTACCCATCTACTGGCTTACTTGTTTCTCATAGGCAGACGTTAGCAAGGTCTCCTGGGGTCACTGACATGACTTCCTGAAGACCACAGAGCCACGAAGCATTGAACTCCAATTCGTATCTCCCAGAATATTTTATCGTACATGACATAAGCTAGGACAAGTCACTGACATACCAAGTTCCAAGTTGGTAGTGCAGTCCATAACTGCAGAAGGAACAGGAAGATATGATCTAAATAAAGCCAAAAAGGCCATATATCCACGCCTCAGCCAACAAAGTGACTTAATGTAATTCCAGTTTTTTTTCCTCTGTGTATTTTTTCAAAGAACATCAATGTAGGGAGAATTTATCCCACAATATTCTGTCTCTTTACTTTGTTGTCTACCTCTCTTCTATCTCAGACACCATGATGCTTACACGTCTGTTTAGCCCCACCTATTTTTCTGTTGTGATAGCAAAATGTCCGTGGCTGAGAACTTTATTTAAAAAGGAGGTTATTTAGTTTATACACTGGGATATTGAAAAGCGTGATGCTGACAGCTGCTGGACTCTGGTGAGGACCCCCCTTTGGCTATGCCACACTGTAGCGGATGGTACCATAGTAGGAAGTCATGTGATACATAGAGGAAACGCATAGCAAGACAGGAAGCCAGACAAGGACTGGACAGGGCTGAAGCTTGCTCTTTTATGGTAACCTCCTCTGGGCAGAACAAACCAGGATATCACAGGAGCAACCTCAATCCCTTCCAAAGACATGTTCGCAGTGACAGGAGGATGTCTTTCCAGGCCCCATCTTGTAAAGGTCGAGTGACCTTTTAATACTACAAGTAGCAAATCCTAGAAAGATTCTCCCAAGCCACGGTGAAACCCAGCACCTCCACCTCATCCCCTATCCTCTTTCCCAGCTCTCCCCTTCCAGGCTCCCCATTTCTTCTCTCATAAGCTATTTTCTCCAGGATTCCATGACTTTCCCTGGGTTTGTCTGGATCTGAATACTTCACAGGAGCCTGAGGGCGGCGCCGGGGTATGTGGCAAGAGCAAAGCTGGGAACTTTACTGAGGATCTGAATCTTCTTTCCTTCTCAAATATGTGCAGATATCCCAGGGAGAAAGTCACCGTGGACCAAAGCATCAACACTTATAGATCAGGAGGCATTTGTGTGCAAGACTGATTTCAAAAGCAGGAGAGAAAACTCTACCCAGGGCCTGAGAGATGGTTCAGTGGTTACTGCTCTTGCAGAGGATCTACATTGAGTTCTGAGTAACCATGTTAGCCAGCTTACAACCCCTGGAACTCTAGCCTCAAGGGAATGCAGTGCCCTCTTCTGACCACCATCACATGCGGGTGCATTCACACACATGCATGCACATAAACACAAACACAAACACACACACGTACACGAATTAATGAGCTAAATCTAAAAATGAAAAAAATACTCAATTGAAAGGGACAAAGGGAATATTAAAATAGAGACAGTCTTTGCATTGAAAACACTTCAAACTCTTAATAAAAAGCCCTACCAAGTCTCTACTCTTGAAAAGCCTTAGACTCAATGTGTATTGGAGCATAGGAACACTTCCTGATCTACCTGTTTGGTCATGCCTAGTAGTCTTCCTGGAAGAGACAGACACACTCTTCCTTCTTTCCACCCCTCATCTCCCCATGGGACATGACAAATAGCAGCCATCAGAACCACTGTGTTCTTCTGTTCTCTTTCCCAGCTGACCCCAAGTACAACATTAGTTGTGAAGATCAGACCTCTAAAAGGATCTCCTTTCTTTGGCTGTGCAGATCCATTATGGGCATCTTGGAGCCCCAACAACCAAAGATGCAAAGGGAAAGTTCCAGAAACCCACCCTAGCTATACTTCGCCCTGCAGGCAAACATTTAGTTCTATTTGATTCTAAACAATTTCCTTTCTCCACTGATCAAGGAAAACCCATTCCTGGCATTGTCTCAAAGCTTGCTACAGATGTGTAGATGAGAGAAGAGAAGCTTACCCATGTTCTGTAACTGGAAGGCACAAACAATCATGTGTCTATTTTCAACAACGTGGAAATGTGTTCTTGGGCTTTCTTACATCAGTGGAGGCTAAGTTTTATTCTGGATAAAACTTTTCTGTATCCTACCTAGAAAAGCAAGGGTTTCTCATAGAAATAAACACATAAAGAAACAAATACCAAACCATTCAACTTGATATACTGAGCAAGCTGGACTTAAAACCTCATACAAACTCTTGTTGTTGGGGTCCAAACAAGCATATTTCAATCCAAAACCAAAGATTCAAGTGTCATAAGGCCAGTTGCAGAAATCAGAGATGTTCCTGTAGCCCCTCCCTGACTCCTCTGTGAGCTGGAAAGCCCATGAAGTTAGACGGGCCCAGCAGCTCAGGCTGTTGTCCACCAGAGCAGAAAGGTGCCCGCTGTTTGTATCATCAGGTTCTTTTGCGTCTTCATGTTTCCATGGTGATAAGATTATCTCTATAGTAGAGATTTCCAGATGGTCCCTTTATAGACACAGGTCTCTGGAGAAACAGAACCAATGAGAAATTCCGTGTGTTGATGTGATAAGGAATTGGCTTATTGAAGGGCAGGCTGGGGATGAGATTGGCAAGTGTGAAACCTGTGGGACAAGCCAACAGGCTATGAACTCACACAGGAGTTGATGCTACAGTCCCAAAGCAGAATTTCTCCAATCACTCCCAATTTCTCCCAAGTGTTTGCACTTAAGGCCCTTTTCTAACAGATAAAGCCCACCCATTTCAGTGATGGTGATGCCTGATCATACTCTTAGGTGGCTACTTATGTTACCCTTAACCACACTTATAAAACACCCCCAGAGAAGAAATTTTATACTCAGACCTTCAAGGTCTGCTGAGTTTGGGTTGCCTCAAAGGTGATGGACAGATGGTGTGTTCTTCTTACCCTGAGTCCTATGCGATGACTTTTAAAACTGAATGGAAGTAAAGGCTCCAAGGAAATTGCTAGGGTATGTAGGGAGAGTTCAGACCGTTTTAACCCAGACGTCAGTTGTTATGGGTGAATCTTGAGAAGGTGGACTATGTGGAGAAGACAGCGGAGTGAAGGAGATGAGACAGATGCAGACTTCCTGACCAATGAAAACCCTCAACAGACTGTATAAAAGGGGGCTTCCCCTTTAGATTTACTTACTTAGTATGAGTGTGTGTGTGTGTGTGTGTGTGTGTGTGTGTGTGTGTGAGAGAGAGAGAGAGAGAGAGAGAGAGAGAGGTGTACATGTGTGCACATGTGTGTGTCTGTGTGTGACACACACACACAGAGAGAGAGAGAGAGAGAGAGAGAGAGAGAGAGAGAGAGAGAGAGGTGCATGTGTGCACAGGTGTGTGTCTGTGTGTATGACAAAGAGATGTACATATCTGTGCACAAGTGTATGTATGATATATATATGTGTGTGTGTGTGTGTGTGTGTGTGAAAGAGAGAGAGAGAGAGAGAGAGACATGTATTTACAGGTGTATGCTTCTGTGTGTGTGTGAGTTCATATGTGTGAAAGAGATGTACATATGTGTGCACAGGTGAGTGTGTGTGAGAGAGAATATACATGTGTGTGCCTCTGTGTGTTTGACAGAGAGAGAAGATGTATACATATGTACACAGGTGTGTGTGTGTATGTGTGTGTGTGCCTCTGTATGTGTGAGTTTGTGAGAGAGAGAAAAGATGTACATGTGTGCATGTCTGTGTGTGCCCATGTGCACACATGGTGGCCACAGGAAGGTGTGAGGTGTCTTCTGTCACTTTCTTGGTCTATTCCCTTGAGACAGGATCTCTTTCTTTGACTCCTGGGCCTCCCATTGTTTCAGCTAAGCTGGAAGCCAGCAATCCTCAGGCATCCTTCTGTTTCTCCCTGATTGGAGTAGTGAGCAAGACATTTGGCTTGTTCTGTGGTGCTGGGATCTGAATTCTGGTCTTCATGATTGTTTACCAAGTACTCTTAACCACTGAGCCATCCTTCCAACCCCCCAGAGAAGGGCTAATAGAAAACATGGTGGGTTTATTTTTGACTATTGAGGTAAGGAGACAAACTGATATGCAGCTCAGAGACAGGGGTCCTTTTCCCTCTCAAGGCTGTTTCCTAAGATGCTTGCTTGCCACTTGATTCAAGAGACAGTGACATGTCTCTTCGAAGAATTAGAAAGTATCTACAACAAAGACGACAATGAAGGTGAGAACTCATGGGCTGACATTTTGTTTCCCAAATACCTGCCCTTTGGAAGGATGTCTACCATAGGTGAACTGTTCTGCCTTGGATTTAGGCCCACTTCATGGACAGGATGAGGACTTTTCACACCTGGCAATGTATACCTGTAAATGTGGAGCTCTTCTCTCGTGTTCCTAACCCCTGTGAACTGACTATATATTTGAGAAAATTCATTAAACCATCAATGAGGAAGTGGAGGAAAGTTTGCAATGATATAAATCAGCAAAGTAGGAGAGACATTGAAATCAGATAGATAGATAGACAGACAGACAGAAAGAATAGCATGAAAGTGAGTAGAACCTACCAAGAAATTAACAAAGAGGAACTTTCAGGGAATTGGCTGATACCTGTTCATATCAACTGTATTTCAGGACCATTTATAAACAGAGCCTGGGTTTCTAAACTCTAGAGCAGAGCTAGTCACATTTGAACCTAAAAATATTCTGTCACATAGCTGTTCAGGCTTTTAAAAAAGTTTTCTTTGTCTAGAGTTGGCTGCCTGTTGCTTATGCCCTGAAGAGCTGCTCTGTGTTTTGCGGTGACACACAGGTGCATAAACATACAGGCACATATACATGTGCATATACATACATGCACACACACATACATACACATACACACATGCATATTCACAAATGCACACACATGTGCAAATATAAGCACATACACATGTTCACACACACATATACACATGTGTATGCATGTGTCTGTGTACCTTGGTATATATGTACATGTGTGTGCATACATGTATGTATGCATATGCACATTCATATACATAGAGGTACACACATTCATAAACACACATATGCACATGAACACTTATGCATGCACACTCACTGAAGAAATGTATTCAAAGAGCTGAGGTGTGACATAATGGTAGAGTGAGGGTGACTTGGGAATGGAGCATAGAAGACTGGGAAATGGGTAGGCCCTTGAGGCCCCCCTCAAGATTCCTGGTTCTCTGCAAGCTCCTAGCTGCATGTCCTTTTGAGAAATGCTGACAAAGCCCCACGTTGTTGATAGACCTGGGGCCTGGCCAATCCCTTGTCTCCACTAAACAGCTTATTCTGATGGCCTCTCCTAGGTCATTTTTCGCACTCATAGTTTTGTTCAAGGGTGGGGGAATCTTTCTCAAATTATGAGATCCTAAGAGGAATTCTACAGTCACAGGTCTTTAGGTATAAAATTTGCCCTGAGTGTAACTTTTCAAAATGACGAGAGTTAAGGGGGGGAAAGGGAGCAATGTCAGAGTTTCCTATATAAGGAACTATTCTCTGGGGCCTTGGTGAAAATGGCACCAACACTCTGAGACATAGGACCCCATCCAATCCTATAATCAGAACACTGGGACCACGACTGGGGTTACATGGCTGTGGCAGGGCTGGAGGAACAGAATAGTCTGAAAGTGAGATTGGCCCCCCAAGGCCTAAACAGGTGTTTTCAAAACATTCTAAAAGAGGTCTGGGAAATTCTGAGCTCTATACTGTAGAACAGGTCCCTTGTTTCGTTTGTGTCTGGTGTGTTTGGGAGTCCCGGTGGGCACAATTGTACTTAATGCTGCTGCTTAAGCATCACCTTGTGCCTCTGATATTCAGTGTGTGTGTTGGAGGCACGGAACAGCTAGACCTATAACACCCTGTGCCAAGTCATATGCTGTAAGAGTCAGAATTCAGGCTCAGATGTCTGGTTATGGAACCAGAGGATTTGGGGATTAGTTATGCTCAGGAAAACTGTTTGGCCCCGTTTTCCTTGCGAACAAAGCAATCTGCATTGCTTCATTTAATCTAGCATATATCTGGCAATTATTGACGTTAAATTGATTTAGTGTTTGGAACGATGTTTCAGACTCCAAACACGGAACTCCCATTTATTTTACAGCTGAATATGGAACACGGCTTCCTGCCTGATGTAATCAGCTTTGTGTTTAACCCCTAAAGTGTAAGCATTGATCCCTCCTCAACTTGCAACTTAATTACTCTCCACTGTGTTCTCCTCCTGAGTAATTTATTCTTTGGAAATAAACAGAGCCCTTTAGGTGGAGGGTCACCTGTTTAAGCTCCAGGGAGAGGATCGCTTTGACTGAGTAGAAAGACAATTCTCCAAGTGTGGTGTGGTTATTTACTGTGAAGCTGAAGCCATGCTAGGGACATTAACAGCCTCTGCTATTTCACTGGAAAGTTCTTAAAGGTGTTTTAAGTCTTCCCCAAAGCTCCTAAGTAATTCTTCTAGCATCTCTCGGAGGTATTATCCAATTTTACAGGGAAGACATGTGAGGGGACATGCACAGGGGCGAGAGTGGGCTGGTGAGAGACAGAGGAGTGAAAGGATTGTTGGGAATATAGGCAGTAATTGGACACCATGCCTTTACTCTTAATTTTTATCCTGTAGATCACACTGTCACCTCATTACGCTGTCTGTACGGACTCGTGGCAGCAGAGGAGATTAACTTCATATGCCATGCAGGTGACACGTGTACTGTTTTCCATTTCCAATGACTCATCTCCTTAGGAAAAAAACCACAAACATTGGGTTCCAATGAGGATAGTAGCATTTAGAGCCAAATTAATCTATTAGTGACATCAGCATTAAAATATTATAGATATATAGGACTGAGGGATGACTCAGTCATTCAACTGCTTGTCACACAGACATGAGGACCTGAGTTTAGAATCCAGTACTTATTTAGAACAGGGCAGTACAGTTCTGTAATCCCAGAGCTATGGAGGCTGAGACTGGAGGATTATGGGTTCTCATTGGCTAGCCAGTCTAGTCAGCTCCAGATTCAGTGAGAGCTTGTCTCAAAACATAAGGTGAAAGCACATACCCACACACCCACACCCACACCCACACACCACACACACACCACACACACATCACACACACCACACAAACACAAACACACACATACAAATTATAATATAAAAGTCTATCTTAAGTTTGTTTTCTAAAATGTTTTCTAAAATATCTTAAGTTTGTTTTCTAAAACTCTATCACAGACTTGGCCAGGCAAAAATTAAAATATATTCCTAATAGAATTATAAAACTAATGACCAAAACACACAGTGGAGAGATAATGACCCAGGCCTCACCAGGGTACTCAGTAAAATTATGATTATTGTTGATACAGAGTCTTGCTATAAAGCAAAGCCTGGCTTTGAATTTATCATCCTCCTGCCTCAGCCTCCTGAGTACTAAGATTTCTGGCAAGTATCATCATGCTGGCCTTTCAGTTTAATTATCAAGCTTGATTTTTTAAAATGACCCCTGTCTCCTTGCTTCACATCAGGACAGAGCTAATGAAAAAAAAACTTTTTTTTGATGAGTTTAGTATCTATATACACGGATACACGGAAGCAGATATGTTACTGGGAGTGATAAAATTTGTAAACAATTTTCAACATCTGGAGACATGGGATAGCCATCAGGTTGTCTTTGTATGTCATGGATGATGTATGCAATGGGTGTGTAATTGCACGAACCTGAGCACCCATGGGTCCACCCAGAAGAGGATGTTGGGTGTCTTCTTCTCTTGCTTTCTGTTTTATTCCCTTAGACAGGGTCTCTCACTGAAGCAGGAGCTCACAGTTTCTGTTAGGATGGCTGCCAGCAAGCTCCCAGGATCTGCTTGTCTCAGCGCCCCAGTGCTGAGGTTGCTGGATCCTGCTTTTCACATGGGTAATGGGGATTTGAATGCAGCACCTCCTAAGCAGGAGTTCAGGTAGTGTTCTTACCCACTCAACTGTCCCTGCCACTCTCAGGTGCCTTTTCTTATGATCACTCTGGCATGCTGAGGGCTAATTTCAGAAGGAGAGGAGCAGAAGCCCGAGTGTTCCGGTCTGTCTGATTTCAAGGCTGCTTCTTCCAGAAGGCATGGTGGATTTAGAGTAGCCAATACATTCTGACTCATGCATGGGACAAGATGATTTCCTTGTCATGGTGTTGGGCCAGAGCCATTTTTAGGAGTGGTAGTTCTGACAGTGAGTGTGGGGAGGGCCTGATGTCAGGTCCCTAGTGTCCCGAGTCAGCAGAGGACGCTGGTTGAGAGTGGCTTGTCTCCCAGCATGGCCAGGCTGGGTCTTGTGTATCTTCCCGAGGGAGTGGTGGCTTCTGTTTCCCAGGCTCCCAGGCCTTACTTGCTGCTCCTCGAGAAAGCAGAGAGCCAGCCCTGTGGCCTCTGAGTGAAGTGCTGGGACGTTTCACTTCCAGGTCAGCTGCTGACTCCCTAAGGGAAGGATTTTGTTTGCTTGTTTTTGTTTTTAATTTACCACATAGGGAGAAGTCACAAACTGCACTCTAAACTCCAAGGTCCAGAGGGTTCCTGTGGATAAAAGAGCTCTCTACTTTATCAGACCATCACTATGAGACAAGTTCAGCCCAGCCCACTCATTGTTTGTGTGTGCTTGTGATACTGGGTATTGATTTGAAGACATCAAGCTAGCTAGGCAAGTGGTCTACCACTGAGCTGAATCCTAAGCCCACTTTCTGTATCTAGTACAAATTTGGTCATTTATTTAATTCTCTTCCTTCAAAAACATTGAGATGATTCTTTTGGTTAATGGGCATTTCTTTTTTAAAAGATGTATGTGTGTGTGTGTGTGTGTGTGTGTGTGTGTGTGTGTGTGTACGCCCCTGGAGGCCAGATGAGAGTGTTGTGAACTACCTGAAGCTGGTATTGGGAACTGAACTCAGCTTCTCTGCAAGAACAGCAAGTGCTCTTATCCACTGAACCAAGCTCTCTGGTCCCATAGGAACTTTGCCAGTGGCAGCTAGGAGTATGAAAATCTCAACTGAGTTTTGAGCAATAGTTGTAACTTTTATTTTTTGTTTAACTGTCTTTCACAGTGTATACGTGCATAGAAGGTAGTCCAGAGACTGCCTTAGAGCCCTGGGTGCCCAGGTTTATGTCGGCTTTGATTTCCTCATGGGGCTTTTTGTCTGAGTTTCAGTTTTTGGAAGAGAAAATGAAAGAAGGCAACTCTAGATATCCACTTCCCCCAGAAATGAAAGAGGAAATATGGTGGTTTCTGCTGGATGATTGCTACCAGTGCAATATTACAAATCATAGGAAACTATGAAATATACATATGTTCATACACATACATATTTGCGTACATACATATATACATGCATACATGCACACATACATACATGCACATTATGCACACATGCTAGGGATGAAGCTTCGCTGGCAGAGTGCTTACCTAGCATGCAGGAAGCCCGACCATCGTAGTGTGTGCCTGTGATTTTAGCACATGGGAGGTATAGGCAGGTAGATCAGAAGTTCAAGGTCATCCTCATCTTTGTCTACATAGTGAGTTCAAGACCAGCTTGGGCTACAGGACACACACACACACACACACACAGTAGAGAGTGAAGTATGAGAGGAGAAAAAGAGAAGGGTGACGGAGACCCTGTGATCTGAAGCTGAAGGCTGGGTTACGGGAGGAAAGGGGAAAGAAAAAGGGAGAGGGAGACAGGGAGAGACAGTGGGGGGGACAACTAAGACAACACAGTATGGAAATGTCACAGTGAGACACAATACTTTGTGAGCTTACTAAAGACCATTTTAAAAACAAAGAGTAGGCCGGGGAAAACATTTTCATACCGTGTCAAAGAAGTCCCTGGCTTCGGTACTAAGGTCTGGAAACCTTCACAAAACTGGTAATTCCTGCCGAGTGAATAGAGGGTCTGAAAGCCAGCAAAGTTTGTACAACAAATTGGAAAATAAATGTATGATTCCTCTAATCTCATGCAGGCAGAGAGACTGGGGTCCCATTAGACTAAATATAACCATGGAGTCCTAAACTCACAACACTCTAGAAGATTATTAGCCATATCCGAATGCTTTTGTATCAAACTCTTGACCTGATTTTTGTCCCAGTTTCACTTTTATATCATCTTGGTTTAGTTCTTCTATTTAAAAAAAAAGTTAAATTTTCTTTAATGAAAGCCAGTTTCACCTCTAAGTAATAGAAAAGTCTGTTTTGCTAAGGGAGCCGCAGAATATTGAAATACCCGGTCCTATATTTTTATGTGGTTGGCAAATGCAGCCTGAAGGCGGCTAATGTGACACCCAACCTGGTGTTAATAGCCAATGATAATTCCGTATGTACCACCTGCTACCTGTCAGGGCACACATTCTCTCTTCCCTTTTTGGCTTGAAGGTGACACTGACTGTGGATGTGTCTCTGTGGCTGGAGGTGAGGCCCGCTGTCAGATTCACCAGGTGAACTGAGATTGCTGTCGTCATCACTTAAAAAAAACCCCACTTAAAAACCGCACATCCTGAGTGTGCCAACTGGGGAAAGTCAGGGCGGGGGATGCGTGGCCTGTAAGATACATAAATGAGGAGCTGTGTTCAGGAAAGGAAAGCCTCTTGGTAAAAGTTAAAACTAGAGAAACTCCTTAGGAACTTCCTTTAGGGGAGAACACTGTTAGCTGAAGTGTTGGCTTCAGCTAACCATTTTATAGCCGCGCATTTCAGTGCCGCTCGGTTTCAGTTTCTCCTTCTCTCTGATAATTGTCCAGGAATGACTCACGAGGAGCTAACTCCATAGTCAAGACGACTTCCTCTCAGAGGAATATACTCTCTCCTAAGAGTATATAATTTAAGATTTACTGGGCATAGATGAAGAAAAAGTAATCTCTAAACAAAGCTTCTTGCCCATTTATAGGTAGGACTTGAACCCTGTAAGTCTTTTCAACTCTCAGGTCCCCACCAACAAATCCAAGGACTGTTCAGGCCAGTACTTCATGGAGGAAGCCTAGAGGCCCTCCATTTTACCCTTTGAGTTTAACCAGTAAGCATTTCTCTGTTTCAACACCACCCCCCAAACCAGACACACCCATAGTCTGAACTGTAAAGAAACTACATTCCAGTTTTTCAAAATGACATACCAGACAGTTCATAGAAAGCCCTGCACACCCAGATGAGTTTTCATGAAACTCGTTGTTTTTTAGTTTAGTTTTAGTTTTTGTTTTTTTAAAGGAATACTTTTTGTCTTAAACCAGTGTTCCTTCCGGGGAGCCACTAACGGTGGCACACCCCCTGCCCCTCCTCCACACCTTTGCTTATGTTTTAGGAACATTTTTATGAATCATTACATCTCTTTGAGCAGGACTGACCAGAAGGGCTATTCAGCAATAGGGACCCTTAGCTTACAAAAATTGTTATAGCCTTTTCCCAAGTGTTTCCAAAAGATACATTTTTGCACTTGAGTTAGTTTTTCAAGAGCCCCGTGAGGTAACTGATGGACCCTCTTCCTCCAAATGAGGAGAAGAGGTCCCTGGTGTAAATAGCCTTCATGAATGTGAGTTGATCTATGAGCGTGGGCCTGGCTTGGGGCAAGAGGAGGACCAGCAACTCATTTTTTTCTTCTTTCTTCCCAATTTATGAGCTAATTCATCTCTTACTTTTGGCTATTGTTGGTTTCTTGGTAGTAGGAGGGTGTATTTAGTATGTCAGTGACCCTGGGAAGATTGTTGCCTGTTTTGAAGACAATAAGTCTGTTGAGGATTCACTATTAAAAAATAAAATAAATAAGATAAAATAAAATAAAACAAAATAACCACAGTGACAGGAAACCAGGTACCTTTTGGGCTGCATAAGTACATCTGTTGGCAGAGTGCTCTTCTAGCAAGAAGCTCTAAAATCGTCCCCAGCACTGAACAAACCAGGGGTAGTGCCAGCACTGAATAAACCAGTGACACCAGGGGCTTTCAACCTTCCTCCAACTGTGATTCTTTAATGCAGTTCCTCATGTTGTGGTGAACCTGTTCCCCCCCCCCATAAAATTATTTTCGTTGCTACTTCATAACCGTAAGTTTGCTACTGTTATGAATTGTAATACAAATATCTGTGTTTTCCGATGATCTTTGGAGACCCCTGTGAAAGGGAGGGCCTTTTGACTTCCTAATGTAGTTGAGACTCACAGGTTGAGAACAGCATCCAGTCTAATCCTACCCAGCACTGGGGAGACAGCACCAGGGTGATCAGAAGTTCAAGAGAGCCAGGTGTACCTCAGCAGCCAGGCCCAGTGCTTTAGGCTAGGCAATCCTTAGGATACTGGTGATACTGTTTCACTATATGAAAAACTGAAGTTTTGTTTTCTCCACAGTGAGTTTTTCCTTTTCTCTGAAGCTTTCTTAACCTCTCCTTGGTCGTCCAATGGGTTCCCCCAGGCTGTCTCTCTAGTCTTTTTTCAATTGCTTCGAATGTTTTAACATGTTCTCTTTCTAGGCCTTGAGCTCTCCTGAGCCTGGCTTCTATGGGGTTGGGGACCAAATGAAGTTTCCTGCTTTGCATTTCCTTTTCTAGCCTCGGCTCCCCTGTATTGAAGAGGGACCCTTCATTATAATCATCACTGAGTGGATACAGTACTAATGCGACTTAATTGTTTCCACTAGACAGATCTCCGGTGTTTTTGGCAGCTAAAATGAAAATGATTCCAAATACCATCAAAGAGGCTTCTAAGCCCCCAGCATGCACAGAGTGTTTTGATATACAGTACAGTGTTAATAGCATTATCTCATCTAATACGACATACGGTTACTTTAATCCTCTCCCGCCTCTCTGATCTTGGAAGATCCGAAGGATAGACGGCAAAGAATGAAACACTATATACAAGGAGACAAAGGGAGACTTAGTCCCCATCCTCTGAGTGTGATTTTTTTTTTGATTGTTTGAGTGCTGGCTTCAAATATGTACCATTATCAATACTGACTTCTGCATCTTCCATGCTAGTTTGAGTTTGTATGCGACATCAAACATGCCTTTTCACACATGTTCCTTCCAGATTTTTTTTAACACTTACTTAGCAGTTTATAGAAGGAAGTGAATGATCTCCTCAAGCTGCTTACAAATTAAAAAAAAATCTGTGCTTATTAATTATGCAGGATTAGTCTAATTATAATTCAGCAAATTAATTAGCGACAGAAGGTGTTCTGAAACATTGGAGTACATTTGCATGTTAAATGGAGAGGCTAGTCTGTAATATATGTAAATTTATGCATGGCTTCATAGTTTAATTTAAAAATTTGCAGCTGCATATGGTATGGGAGCAGGTGAAAAGTCAGTTTTAGTTTAATGATGCTAACAGACATTGGATGGTGTCCTGTCTTAGCAAGAGGATGCACTCGTATCTGCTAATCTCTGAATCTGTCAGATGAGCCTAACGTTACCGAGATGCTCAAGGTCACTAGTGAGTGAACGGGTAGGTGCAATAGGTATAAACTAAAGACTGTGGAGGAAGAGCGGCGCTGGGAGACATGTACCCACTCAGCTTCCTTCCTCACTTTCCCCGGTAGTACGTGTTTACTCGGCTGCCTTTGGTTTAAGGAGAGGTACATTCCAGTCTGCTGAAATCGGGCTTCTTTTTTTGTTTTTTTGTTTTTTTTTTGTCTCCCTGGTATCAAATCTGGCAGGTGTAAAATAGTTGTTCAACCTTGATTCCCTTTCCAAATATTCACATTTGCACTTCATTTCAATTTCCCGGAGTCGTGGGAAAGTTATTACTGAGTTATGAATTAATGGTAGGGTAGTGAGTTTTACACACTGGCCTCAACCATCTGGCAAAACAGTAAAAACCAGTGGACCAGTCAGCAGCAAAGGGCTCCTGGTGTAATCGGTGTTCACTGCTCAGCCTAGCATAGATGAGTTTAGCTGGGAGGGCAGAGAACCAGAGGGAAAGGGGAGGGGAGGCCAGGATTGACAGGGACTGAGGCTGAGGACCCATTAAGCCGATGACTGGCTAATAACTTCATTTCTCTCCTCCATCCAAGGAGTCATTGTAGTAGAAGGAAAATAGATTTGTATCCTCACTCTGAAGTCTCAGTGATTTTGTGAGTGTGTGTGTGTGTGTCTGTGTGTGTGTGTAGCAAGTGTGTAGGTGATTCGGTTTTACTGGGTTCTTTCCTTTTGGTGATGAGAAGGGAAAGAAAGGGACAAGGCAAAGAAAGAAGACCTGGTTGAAAATTAAAGAAAGATTGGGGTATGGCTCAGTGGTAGAATACTTGCATAGCAGCCGCAAGGTCCAGGGTTTGATTCCCAGCACTGGACTTAAGAGAAAAAAAAGATAAAGGAAAAGGTAGATCTAAGTATGTTGCCAGGATCCCCCAGAGACACCTTCAGAGACAATTAAAATGACAAACTTGTTCTTAGGTTTGGCTTCCTTTCCAATTCAAACCCAAAGAGCTGTGTAATCAAGTTTCATGAATGGTGTTGGATTTTGATCTGAGTGCAAAAGCAGAGACTTTTCCTGAGACATGTTTTCTCTAAGGTGCTGAGTCATGGGATTTAGGGGAATGGGACTGGATACGGACTACAATACAAATGTCCATGTCAGAGCCTGGTCTTGAGCAGCCAAAGTGCATTGTTTCTGGTCAGGATTAGGAGGGCAGTGAGAAGAGGTGACACCCTGCTTTTACAGCTTAGTGGCTTTGTGCAGTCAATTGTTTGCCACTGGGACTGTGGAAGACCCTCCAGAAGGGAAATGGCTTTGAAATACAGTCTATCAATAAGGGAGTCAGATTTATACAGTGCGGGGAAGTCCTGCCTCCCGGTGCCTAAATGAATACAACAGATCCTACCCAGGAGGCACCATGTTGAGGAGCAGAGATCTATTGCCAAGCTGAAATGCCTCTTCCAAGAGCTTGTCACTGAAGTACTCAAGGAATGGAAAATGATTCTGAGGGCCTGTTGCCAGCTAGAAGCTATGTGTGTACTCTGATTACTGACCAGTGTTACTGCAGTGTGGAGGACTACCACCAGTCACCTTTTGTCATTTTCCCCCCGTAATCTTGTTGGACTGGATTAATTTTTTTTCATTTTTAATATGTCCCTCAACAATTAAGGGAAGTTCAAGTTGAGAGTACACATTGGTATTGGAAGGACACCCTGTCCTGAGAGAACCAAATTTAAGTTTACGGTAACTCCTTGTGGAGTAGTGGTATTTTAAAATATAGCGGGGAGAGGGCTCAGCTGGTAAAATGCTTGCTTGCAAAGATGAGGATTTAAAATTGAGCTTCAGAATCCACGAAAGAACCAGGTGTGTTAGCATGTACACGTGATCTGAATGTGCATTGATGAAGGTGTACAATCCTAGTGTGTGCTGGTCCAACATACCTGTGATGCTAACGTTGGGGAGATGGTGTCACGAGGATGCCCAGGGCTTACAGACCAGCCAGCTACAGTGGAGACTACCATGCCAAGGAGAGATCCTGTCTCAA